AAAAACGGAGGCGATAGATACTTAGCCGATCGTCCCTGTTCCCCCTTTTCCCGAGCCGAAACTAGAGGAGCGGCCGGGGCCCCAACACTGTGGAGGCTGCCGGCCGGCCCGGCCCCACGACCCCCCCGCGCACGGCCCCCGCCGCCGCCCTCGGCCCCGCGCGCCCCCCGGGGGTGGCAGCGGCGGATTTCAGGGGCACTTTCTTTCATCAGGAGGCTTTTGACAAAATGGAAGGTGAATTATAGGTGTCCAGATGACCCGGCACGGGGGCCGAGTCAGGCTGGCGGCTGCCGACCAGGTTCCCGCGTGCCCGTGCCCTCCCCGTCCGGGCTGCCGGTGCGGAGCTCTAATGCAGCTCCGCAGGCGGTCGCAGCCTAGGAGAAGGCTTTAGTTTTACACGATGACCTTGGGTGTGAGAAAAGGAAAAGATGGCGGGAAGCTGGGGGGTGGGACAGGGACGATGGCATGCCACAGCTGCCATCGTTTTTATTCGGAAACTTTGTGGAGAAAGTGCTCCTGGCTGGACCTGCATTCTGTCGGAGGGCCGAGCCAGACTAGCCCTTTGGCTAACCCCTCCCCCTTTAGGTAGTGACAAAGTGACGGATTTGAAGTAAGAGTGCGCGGGCTTCGTGCTTAATTCCAGGACACCGTCGTTGTGCAAGCTACTTCTTAAGCCAGAACGCGGCAACAATAGTGGTATTTCAAGTGCTCCCTATTTAAGCTGTGTGGAGCGTGTTGAGCGGCGATGACAACGTGGGGTGTTTTTTTTTTCAACATGGAGTTAAATTTGTAAGCAGCCAGGGTTAAGTCATTGATTACAAATGTGCCCTCCTTTTGCCCTTCGGCCTTTGAGGCTGTAGTAGTTCTGTGATGTACCACACAGGCACCCCGTTTGGGTTGGCTCCATTTGGAGAACTTGATCGCTCTGCACAAGTAACTTGCAAACCAGCGCCGCTTCATGCTGGTCACCAGCTAAATGACAAGCGACAGCGAGCCTGATTTCCTCCCCACTGCCCGCTGGCTGGCAGTGTATCGGGGGTTGGCAGGAAGGGGGCTTCGTTGCAGCAAAGTGAACTCGAATTTTGCTGTGCCTTCTGGGCGCTCTTGTACTTCAGTTCCTCATAGTGTTTTTCTCTTTGTCTTTCCCAGTCAGGATGGCTAAAGGTGACCCCAAGAAGCCCAAGGGCAAGATGTCTGCTTACGCCTTCTTTGTGCAGACTTGCAGAGAGGAACACAAGAAGAAAAACCCAGAGGTCCCGGTCAACTTCGCAGAGTTTTCCAAGAAGTGCTCCGAGAGGTGGAAGGTATTTTATTTCTCTTTGTATCCTCAGACTAGCTTTAGTTGGAGTTGACGTGTTGGGACTACTTGCCTTCAAAGTCACCCCAGCGGGGCCGGTTTCTTCCTCTCTCTGGAAACTTCTCAGGTAGTCCTCATCCCCTTTCGCGAGTTAGTTGAGCAGTTGCCACTTGAAAGGCAGGATAGCTGAACACATGGGTGCACAGTGCATTGAGGGATTCAACAGGTACTGTTCTTTGCAGACAATGTCTGGAAAGGAAAAGTCTAAATTTGATGAAATGGCGAAGGCGGATAAAGTACGTTATGATCGGGAAATGAAGGATTATGGACCAGCTAAGGGCGGCAAGAAGAAAAAGGACCCCAATGCCCCTAAGAGACCACCGTAAGTGACTGTAGGATTGATTCAAGATGACAGCTTTCTGCTGTTAGAAGATTTTTAAGAGATATTTGGCTTTAGAAATACCGAGATAACTGCTGCAAGAAGTTCTGTACTTTGAGCTTTAAAATGCTGTGCCAGCCTTGTCTCTAGTTAAGGCTGAGGTGTTTGTGGGCTGTGTGTGTGTGTGTGTGTGTGTGTGTAAGTAACTGCTAGACTGAGAAAGCACCATGTAGTCCAGAAGCATCTGAAACCTAGCATTTTACAATGTTGTAGCACTGTCTATGGTAGCGTATAGTCTTCGCTTTCCAGACAAGCCCTGGTGCCTTAGGGAGTCTGTGGAGTCAAGAACATGGGGTTCCTGGTTAAGATCTCCTACTTCTGTAGATTCTCGTCTCATTTACGTAACTCTCCCTCCCAAGGTCTGGATTCTTCCTCTTCTGTTCAGAATTCCGCCCCAAGATCAAATCCACAAACCCTGGAATCTCTATTGGCGATGTGGCCAAAAAGCTGGGGGAGATGTGGAATAACCTGAGTGACAGTGAAAAGCAGCCGTACATCACCAAGGCGGCAAAGCTCAAGGAGAAGTACGAAAAGGTAGGGTGGACTAGCGTGTGCCCTTGGCCTGAGCCAGCCCAGCTCGGTAGCCCGGATGGGGAGCAGTGCAGGACCCTGGTTCGGGTGGGGGTGTGTGGCTGGCTGGCAGGCCTGAATCCCTAGCATAGCATAACCCTGTTGCATGTGCAGGTCAGCGCCTGAGCCTAGCTGTTTGGCTTTCTGACAGATTTTTGTCCTGGGGACAACTTCAGGCAGGCTTGACAACTTAAAGCTGACAACAGGATCTGATAGTGCTAGATAAGGCTGTTGACATGTTTTAAAGGCCACTTGACCATCCATTAACTTTGAGATCTGAATGAGCGGATGCAGATCCCCAGCCACTACTTGAACTGCACTAGCAGCTGCCCTCTCCCCATCCATCCCCCTACCTGTGCTGAGTGGGCTGAGGACTGCATGCGGCGGGCAGGCGGGCAGGCGGGCTTGTCCGCTCATGTGGAAGGTGTCCCTGTTCTTCCAGGATGTTGCCGACTATAAATCTAAAGGAAAGTTCGATGGTGCAAAGGGTCCTGCGAAAGTTGCCCGGAAAAAGGTGGAAGAGGAAGACGAAGAGGACGAGGAGGAAGAGGAGGAGGAGGAGGAGGAGGAAGATGAATAAAAAACTGTTGTTCTGTCTCCTTGTGAATACCTTAGAGTGGGGGAGCGCCGGGACTGGCACGCCTCTCACTGGAGACGTGTCTTGCCCTCATTAGGTTTAATTAACGAGAATTGGATCTGATCATATTGTAGTTTCTCAAAGTGCTCTAGAAATTGTCAGTGGTTTACATGACGTGGCCATGGGTGTCTGGAGCACCCTGAAACTGTATCAAAGTTGTACATATTTCCAAACATTTTTAAAAGGAAAAGGCACTCGCGTGTTCTCCTCACTCTGTGCACTTTGCTGTTGGTGTGACAAGGCATTTCAAGATGTTTCCGGCATTTTCATTTACTTTGTAAGGTGGTGTTGACTCTCTGGTTGTGGGCTAGAGCTCCTGAGTTACCGGCTGTACATATCTATAGTTTGTAAAAAGAGCAAAACAACTGAGACAAACTCCCGATGCTCCTTGCGTGGCACTGAGGCTGTGGGGCAGGTGCCTGTGCAGGGGCTGAAGCTCAGGGCGTGCACTGCGAGGCTGGACCCGTTGACACTGCAGTGGGCATCCATTTCGCTTCAGGTTGTCTTGTTTTTGTATATAGTGACATAGCATTCTGCTGCCATTCGTAGCTGTGGAAAAAAAAGGGGGGTCAGCTGGCATGAGAAGGGTTGGGTTTTTTATTTTTTTTGTTTTTGTTTTTTTAGTTAAGTGCAGTAGTTTGTTTTTTTTTTTAAACAAACTGTAGAACTCTTCAGTGTCAGCAAAGCGAAGAGCCACTGCCATCGATGGAAGTTCAAGAACCTTCTGTACTTAAAAGACTTTGCAATGTTCTGTTGTTTTTTTTTTTTGTATGTTTAGAATGCTCAAATGTTTTTGAAGTTAAATAAACAGTATTACATTTTTAAAACTGTGCTCTATGACAACAGTCTGCATGTGTGACTCAGAGCAGTGTTCCCAGTGAAACAGCCCTCTGCACTGTGCTTGGAGACGAGCCTCCTGCTCAGGGTGGCCAGCTTGCTTAGGACTGCCCCAGAGGGTCGCCTGCAGCCACTGCATGGTTGTCATTGGCTGGCATCAAGATGAAGTCGAAGCCCTTGAATGTAAGCTAAGGTAGGACGATGTAAACGTGTAGCAGCCCCTCAAAGGTACAGGAAGGTGGCTGCTTAGCATGGGGGCTGCTACTCTAGGTTTGCTTCTGTCTCCCACTCCCATGCCCTAATTCATGGGACCAAATGTACGGCTAAACAGCAGAAATGTGTTAGAAATTCAGGCCTTGTTTTTCCTCTTGCATCTTCTCCAGTGCGTGTAGTGGGATGTGTAGATACTGTGCTCGTCATTTCGGGAGGTTCTTTGCTGTCTCGTGGAGCACAGCGAGGGAGTGTAGGGTAGGGGACAGTATTCATGTTTCGCTTCGACCTCACAAAGTCAGGCACCCCAAAGAACATTCTAGGCTCCATGCTGGGTCCCCTGAGCTGTACAGCAGGCTGATGGGATCCACCGTTTCCAGGCACTACATGTTCACAGTGGTTGTTCAGTGTTCTTAACCTGGGAGAAGCGGAGAAGTGTCCTTTGTATTTTGTTGGTTACATGAGTGGATAGTGTAACATTGAGTCCAGGTTAGGATGCCGTGATGGCTACAGTGGCAAATGGTGATAATACCATTTGGAAGGCTGCTGTGTGGATACACCTTAACAGCAGGACTGGAAGCTACTATGCTGTAGGTGAGTTTTGATACTTGGGTATGGCTGGTTCAGGCTATGAAGCAGGCACAAGTGTTTTTGTGGTGTTCAGAGAAAGCAGCTTTTCCTTAAAATTTCCTGTGGGACCTTGGATGTCTAGAGGCACTGTCTTCACCCTGTCAGGTCTTGGATCAGTACAGGTCATGGTCATGGTCACAGCTTGATCTCTATTCATAGCTACTCCATCTCCCATGAGGGCTGTCCTCCATGTGTTTAGTTTTCATAGAAAACAGCCACACATTTAACCCCTGGGGTGCTGAGTTTTCTCCAGAGGCGCTTGCTCCAGAATTGCCCCTCTTGCTTCGGCCATGCCCTTGTCACTTGGCGTTCTAGGCTGATTGGGAGCTGTGGCCGGCCTCATCAGACACAGGAAGAGAATCTCGACCTGTAGCAAGGCAGTGGTTTCTTGCGAAGGGTTACTTCTAATGTGCTTGTGAGAGGGGTGCCAACCACAGGAGGGCAAAGGTTGGATAGGAGTGACTTTCTTTGGGGTTTCCTTGCACAGTGGCTAAACAGAAGTGGAGAACCGTTTAGCTGAGCAGTCTGAGCAGACACCTAGTTCTGCAGAGACTCAGGCCGTTGGCTGCCACACAGCCACCACTAGTGGAATGCTGCTGTGTAGTTTCTCTGAGATGCTGTTCGCATTTAAGGCTTGGGCTTAGCTTGGCGCTTTGGCCCCACAGGATGTGTTCTTGCAGTGCCAACCTGTTCTCTCTTTAATTCAAAGGACAATACTTGTCCTGAGCCCTTCACACCCTTCCTGAGTAACGTTTTATGTTTTGGAAAGACCAGGGTTATGATAGCAACTGTGGTCTGTCTCCTGTGTGTCTGTTCTTAGCACAAACGTACTGGGGACCTTGGATGCATTCATTTGCTGTAATAGAATTTCTTAAGCAATCTTCCCAGAAAGTAATCAGTGGGCTGCCAGCAACCTGAGACCCACAGCCTCTGTTTCTAGTTGATTATAATCAAGGTTCTAGAAATACCAAGTTCACTGCAAGCATGCATCTGAGCTACTGGTATTTAGTAGAATGATGCCCTGGATCTGCCTTCCAGGTGTAGGAGTAAAGGGGAGGCTGGTTCTGGAGCCCTAAGCCAGAAGTGTGCAATATGCAGGATGCTGATGGACTGCTCTTTGCTAAAGTGGCTGGGTCCTTGTCATCTGCCAGCCCTGCCAGCCAGCGTTCCCAGAGGCTAGGGGGTCCAACAAGGAGTTCTGGATGAAAGCCACAGGGGCTGCTTGCTGTTCTTGGCTGCCAGTTGAGGTTTCTGTGATGCCCAGGGGCTACCTGGCAGGGAAAGGCTTCCCTTCCTGCTTTGACCAGAACAGACTGATTTATTTACTTATTTGAAAGTCAGTTACACAGAGAGAAGAGAGGCAGAGAGAGGTCTTCCATCCTATGATTCACTCCCCAATTGGCCGCAATGGCTGGAGCTGCGCCGATCAGGAGCCAGGAGCTTCTTCCAGGTCTCCCATGCAGGTGCAGGGGCCCAAGGACTTGGGCCATCTTCCACTGCTTTCCCAGGCCATAGCAGAGAGCTGGATGGGAAGAGGAGCAGCCAGGACTAGAACCGGCGCCCATATGGGGTGCTGGCGCTTCAGGCCAGGACGTTAACCCACTGTGCCATTGCGCCGGCCCCTGTCGCCCTGTTTTTTATGTTGGGCATCCTAAATTTTCAACTCTAAAGGGAAGCTGGGACACTATATTGATAAAGGTAAAGACACATAATCATCCTGATAGACACAAAGTGGGGGGGGGCATCCCTTAAGAGCAACAGTTTGCGCGCCAGCTGCTCTGCTTCTGATCCAGCTCCCTGCTAATGTGCTGGGGAAAGCAGCGGAAGATGCCCCAAGTCCTTGGGCCCCTGCACTTAAGCGAGACCTGGATGAAACTCCTGGCTTCAACCTGGCCCAACCCTGGCCATTGTAGCCATCTGGGGAGTGAACCAGCTGATGGAAAAAATATCTTTTTCTTTGTCTAACTGCCTTGCAAATTTAAAATAACTCTAGACAGAAGAAAACCTAGAAAAAACTCAACAGCTGACATAATGAAAGACCACGAACTTTAGAAGGTTAGAAACAGGACAAGGATATCTGCTTTTTGCCACTGTTATTGGTCATTGTTTTAGAAGTTATAGCCAGGACAGTTAGGCAGTTAAATAAAGCTCCCAGTCTAGAAAATAACAATCTTGTTTACAGGCAACCCTAAGGAATTTCCAAATAAAACAACAAATAGGTGTATTCAGCAAAGTTGTATACAAGATCAATATGCAAGTTAGTTGTATTTCTATATATCATCAATGAACAGTCAAGTAAGTAAACAATAATTCTATTTATACTATCAGAAAGGATGAAAGCTTGAGGAGTATCCTTAGTAAAAAGTACAAAACTTAAATGAGGAAAACCACAAAATACTGAAAGAAATTAGCCTACCTTAAATGGAAAGCCATTTCCATTTAGCCCATGATCATGCGTTGGAAGATAGAATATATTTTTAAAGATTTATTTATTTGAAAATCAGAGTTACACACAGAGTCAGAAAGAGAATTCTTCATCTGCCGATTCATTCCCCAGTTGGCCACATCAGCCGGAGCTGCTCCAATCCAGAGCCAGGAGCTCCTTCCAGGTCTGCCACGTGGGTGCAGGGGCCCGAGCACTTGGGCCATCCTCCACTGCACTCCCAGTTCTGGTGAATTTCTCATCTTCTATGCCCCCATGCCGCCTTAGGGGCAGCCTAGAAGGTACATTTCCAGGCTTTTGCTAACCAGTTTCCCTCCAGGGAAATCTCCAGCTCAGTACAAGATACTAGCCATGCACTTCCAGACCCGAGCTCTTCAGATCTTTGGGTCATGGTGCCGTCTTATGACTGGAGACCTGCCAAAGCTCACGTTCTTACTGTCTTTCACTGGCCGGATGTAACAGCTGCCCAAATACTTCTCCTGTTTCCTATCCTATCGCTCGCCCCTCATAGAGATACTGACAGATAGCTAGTGTTTGCCAAATTGCCGTTGCATAAGGAAATGGTTAAATGAATGCATGACTAGGAGCATATTGGGGGAGGTTCAGTGGGGCTGCACTATGCAGTGCCTTGTAAGTCTTCTTCAGGATGTCAAACTCTCAGAGCAGTGGTGAGCATTTAGGCATTTCTGTGTAGGGGCAGAGGGGCTGGTGGATGGTGAACTGGTCAGATATGGATCTGTGTATCTGTGTAGTTGTTACTCTGGCAGCTGTGAGGATAATAGAGCGGAAGAAATGGAAGGCTTCATAGTGGAGGTAGAGCATCAGGAGAAGCCCACTGCT